GCTTGACTCAATTGTCTGTCTCTATATCTATCTGCAGTTATTTCTCCGCTTTATTTGCCAGGCTTATATACTAAAAAAAGAGGGCACCTGGAACAGACTAGAGTTGCCAGGAAAATTCAAGATTCTTCCAGAATCTCATGACGTGTTACCAGCGTCACGTGACTTCCGCTGTCATAACAATATTATACAAAACATTTTGGATGACATTTAGTACCTCGAACATCAAAATCGTTTCTACGTTTATGACAATCTTAACAATAAATCAGCCACAATAACAGGCTAGTTAATCATTCAGTATTATCTTCTACTCTCGCGCGTTTACATTGTTTAAATCGCTTCTTAAGCCCCCAGTGGCTCAGCGGTATGTCCGACGACTTATACGCTAAAAACCGGGTTTCGATACCCGTGGTGGGAACAGCACAGACAGCCCATTGTGTAGTTTTGTACTTGACTACAAACAAACATCGTTTCTTAAATTTACAAGAAAATTCTAGACGTTGAGCTACGCAATCATCTCATGACGTCAAAACTTCTACTAGCTGGAATTAATTCAAACATCTAAATTACGCAATATCATAGGCTACCAGCAGTCAACAATAAGGATATTGAACGGGCGTACCCGGTGCTTGGAAGATGGCGATAACGTTTGAATGTGTATTATGTGTTCTCTATGTGTTGTTAGTTTTATGTTATGATAAAGCTAACGCAAATGCACCAACAGATATTAGATTAGATGAAAAGGCAAGAGGCATTCATCGCATTGATTCTCAAAACATTCTTGCTTACGTTTGTCTGTTAATATTAACAGTTTGCACGATATGGTTGTTCAAGCGTAGACGTGCTCGCTTTCTTCATGAAACTGGGCTTGCCATAATCTATGGTGAGATACAAGCTCATTGTACTTGTATGGTTAAAAATAATAGCACCTGAAATACTGCTAAGTTTCGCTTCACCCCGAATATCTCCTTGATTAAGTTATTCAGTTTATGTTTTGTTTTATAATGCTTGCCAGTTGAATTAAAGAAAATTAGTGTCTCCCCACCATAGTTTTTCTGTTGCATTGTTACTGTTTGTAGTAATAACGATTAACAGAAAAATACTAGTGTTAGTATTAATATTAGTAGTAATGTTTGTAATAATACTTATTGGTTATACCAGAAAATTAAGCTGTAATGAAATGATTATAGATGATCTATCTGGCTAGTGGATTGCCAAAGTATTTCACAAATCACTATATATAAGTATAGATAATGGGTTAATGGTAAAGATATAAAGCACTTGAGCCAGATAATATTTATCCTGGATGAAAGTGAGGTGCCAGAAGATTAGATGTTAGCCAATTTCAAACTGGTATTTGTAAAGGTGAAGTCATTTCATGTTCTCCCTGCATATCTACTCTTGTGAAAAACACAAATTTTTTTAAACCAAACCGTTATTTTATTTATCAGGAAATCATCTTTTTTTTTCTTAAGCTCGTGTAAAGTACTACCTCTGCTGATAGCGACTCATTCCTTAAGAGGGACAAAAGTCTAAATCAACATAATATATATTTATATATATATGTACTAAATGAATAAAGAAATAAATGTTTTTCATTTTCCAGGAAGGTAGGAAGTGCCCCCCTTGCCCCAGCTCAGGGCCCTAATCTCATTGTACATTGCCATAATCTAACTAATCATGTGACCTATAACAATTTCCAATGGAAAACTTTCTACTTTTTAAACCCCTAATTGTAACCAATAAAAATCATACTCTTGTCTATCATTTTTTACGTTTCAGTCTCAACAAGTTGTAGATCATTTGATATGAATAAAGCTATGCCCCCATCTTTTAAGAGGTTATATTAAATAACTTATAACCTGGACATTCAGGGTAATTCCTATTATCAGTGCTCTCCAAACCTAACCAAGTTTCAGTAATTCCCATTACATCAGTCTTAAACCCTGAACACCTATTTTGTTCCTAATACTCCATATAGTAGTAACTAAGCATGAATCTATTATGCTTTTCTTTAAATCTGATAGACTGTAAAACAATTATTTAATTTTTTATACCATCAGTTTCCTCTTTTCCTTGTTTACTTTCAGTTTCTCAAACTTTCATTACTAAGCAAATGTAATGAACTTGTTTGAGTGTTGGGTTCTGTATTTATCAGGATGGGTGTTATTTTGGGGCTTGAGCTTTGGTAGAACATTGATTTTGAAACATTAGCATGAACAAAGGTTGAGGTAGAGCCAATTTCTTAATATTGTGAATCATTATATTGGTTCCTTACTAATGATCTTTCCATTTGAAATGGATGGTTAGTAAAATTTACTAATCAATTAAGCATCAGACTCATTAGTTGATTACATTCAACTAATCAGTTATATTCACATGAGACTGGATAGTTGGAGTAATTGGAAACAAGTTTTGATGAGTCATGATACTAATTGATTAAGTTGAACAACCTTGAATTAATCAAAAATAATGAAGCATAGAATAATTGAAAACTGTAATAATGTGAACACTAATTTTGATTATTTTTGTACATAAATTTCATCATAATTTTGATTTTTAGAGTATTTTACATGGCACTATTTGTGTACAATTATTTTTGTCCTATAACTTAACATTTTCAACTTTTTGGATATGTCATTATGGATACTCATATCAGATTTCAGCTTTACATTCTTCCTTTGACTTTAAAGTTTTAACAGAAGTAAATTGCTTTCTTTTCTAGAAGTAATGCTTTTAATCTAACAGTATGGGACTGGATTTCTTGAATTGTAGTGTGTATGTATCAGTTTTAATACTTAATCTCTTTTTGTTATTTCTCAGACTTTATATTTTCTAACACTAAGTATTTTCAGTGATATTTGAATGTAAATCACTACTCCACTGTTAATATGTTGGTCATACTTTAGCAAGTGCAGTTAACACTGAGCTAGTCCACTTCACTTGTGAGTCCAGAAAATGATATCCTTGAGTTCTGTTTGCTTGTGTTCAGTTTTTTCTTTTTATATTAAATCTGTTTTCATCTTGTATTATGTTACAACAAATTACTTTTTTATAGTGTTGTTCCAAGGTTCTTTTATCAAAATTAAGGTAACACAGTGGAAAGTTTAAGAAAAACCCTTGAGATATACTGTTTTTCATACAAAAAAATATAATTAAAGATGAACAATTGTACATAGTGATGGAACAAGATTGTGTTAACACTGTTTTGTTAGTTAATTCTACATTAAGTAATCTTTGTAGATGTGGCATATTAGATATATGCAAATTGGCTGTGGTCAACTTAGAATGTTGTGTGAGCTCATTACCAGTGCATTGATATTAACATCTTAAAAAGTAGTTCAGATGTTGTCTTGGGTTATATTAATACAGTAATTTTGTGTGTATTTTGTTACTCATTAGTAATGTAAATCACACTGCAAATGCCATTATCCTTTATTTACTTTCTTCTATGCATAGATTTACAGTAATGAGCCATGTGCAAAACAAAGAAATGTAAAAAGTCTTGCACCTGGCTGCAAACATTGTGGCTGGCCCCTCAATTACTTGTCTTAGAAGTGAGGCTTGTTGATGTGATGTACTCTTTTTTTTTTTTAGCCACATTTTGGATTTAGTAGAACTCCATACTAGTGGCCCTTTGATTGGCCAAAAGTGAAATAAATGTAGTTATGTTTATTACTTAGAACATACGTTGAGTAAAATATTGGCCTGCTATTGGAAATTGCATTTGACTGGTCAAAAGAAAAGATGCCAAGTTTTCAATGCATTGTTTTCAGAGGACACATTTAAAAAATGCGGTATTCCTGTGATACCATGCTTTTGGCAGAACACTACTGTTTTTAACATCTAAAATCATAACATACAAGTATGGGTAATCATTTGCTTTAATTTATTAAATTTATATTTGCCATTTAATTTGGACTATAAAATTTTCATAAATTTTTCACCTCAACGTGTTTGAATAATTCTAATTTCTCATTGTCTAATAAGCACGTGGTTATTTAAACCTTCAACTTTGGTTGACATCATATGAAGTTAGCATTTTGAAGGCAACATTTTGAATGGTCCCCTGCAAAAATTTGCAAATTTTTGCCCGTGGGGTGGTTGGTAGTTTTACACAAACTGCAAACAAAGGGTTAATATCAGTTCAGAACTGAAGCATTTCCTGTGGTTTATAGATACATTGTCCCAAGTGATGCAGCAATAAAGTTACCAAGTCTGACCTTGTAAGAAGACTCTTGTAAAGATTTTTCATTTTATATTCTTTTATCTAACAGATTGAGTTTTGGTCAAGAGTCTTTTAACTTAATCATCCAACACATTTATAGATAAGCAACTCCCCTAGTCTCAAGTTTATTTTTAGAATATGCAATAAGAAACAAAAAGACATCTTTTAATATGGCATTATTTCCCTGAAACTTGAAATTATTAAACTATGGGAATTTTGAAGGGGAATACATTTTCTTTATAGTGGTACAAAATACCAAACTTCCAAGGCAGTGATCTGTGTACCCTTGGCAGTGACAGAGTTAAACAGTACCTGGAGTAAGATGGCTCACACCAGTACTAATGATAGTTTTAATACTTAGAAATTGTATTTCTGTTTTATTTTGGTATATGATTACCAGTTAAATTATCTTTAATTATTTGTATGGCTATATGTTTATGCAATATGGCATGCAGTTTAGTCACACCAGATTCAATAAAGTACTATTAAAATGCATCTGAATCTGATGTATAACACACCATAGTATCATAATTCTGCTTGAATGAGCACAATGTTGGAATTTACAATGTCACTTATAAATTTGGTAACTATCAGTAATACTGCCAATAAATGGGTAAATTTATTTAAGTGAATTATATCATTTATCATCTTGAAATGTTAATTAATAAGTTTTTAATTTACAATTAATTTTTGTATATGTATCATTAGTACTACTATAAATATATGGTGGAGCTGTAAATAAATGATTTTTGGAATAATAAAAGTCTAACTGGTACATTATTTAACTCCTGTTACAAGAGTTATAACTTGTGACATGTGCCTGGATGTTTAGTTTCTGGCAATCAAACAAGTAACTAATGTATTTAGTCTTGCTTTTTACAGGACTAGTAATTGGAGCAATCATTAGATATGGAGCTGAAGACACTGAAATTTCATTTGTCAATGTTAAGACAACATCTAACAATGTCACTGTCCATGACATGCCCCCTGACAGTCTGTTCTTTGCAATGCAAGTCAAAACTGGTGAAGGGAGAGTCAAGACAAAATATGAGAATAAAACATATGCATATGTGTTTCGTGGTGAAGTAACTGATGTAGAGAGCCAAAAGCTTGACCAAAAGGTAAGCTTATAGCATGTACAGTATGCTCCTTGTAACCTCTGTTAGTTAAATAGTTTTATATCTGAATGTATGTGTATTTCGTATAATTTTACATAAAATACCTATTTTTGTTTGGTTTCTGTGGTTTGTTATCTGAATATGTATACATGTATATCCATCAAATATGAGCCATGAGATTATGTACATAGATGTAATTTGTTAGATGAGACAACACCTCTTTATGGTTCAATGGAACCACAGCTTTCATGCTTTATGTATCATTACAGCAGACAGACATAACTGTTCCATAAAATATTCTTTTCTGCTGACTGATATGGCATCCATACTTTTTCATTCTTTCTGGAAGGCAATTTTAACTTGTAATGGGAAATATAAAATTTTTGTTGTGGGATGGTGGATGAGATCGTAAAGCATCTTTTATTTGAAAGTTTGGAAAAACATTGAGAGAAAAAAACCTGTTAATGAGCTTTATTTTAAGAATGTGAAGAAGAAGAATATTGAAGAAAGGAAGGCTTTAACTATAAAGTGTAATGTTTTTAATTTTCTTTTTATCAGGGAAATTACATCATTTGTTATTTAATGGTTGATAAATTTATTGTTTTTAAAAAAAGGTTATTAAGATACTGAAAATTACATTGTTAATCTGATTACTGTATATGATGATTTATAGAATCTATTGCCAGAAACTATTTGTAAGTTTTAATAGAATTGAAAATTGTTTCAGGAAAGTATATAATTATCTTACCAAGATTTTAACATGAAGCTGCTTTTTCAGGTTTTTACGTATGTATGGGGCCAAATTCTTTACATTAGGTGTCTGTGACTTGTTGGTAATAAATTTCAACAATAAAAAAACAGCACACAGTACATTTGGTTTTAAGTTATATGTATTAAAACAAGTCAAATGCACATAGTAATACTGTTGGTTACCACAGTTTATGCAGAGCTTTAAATAATTGTCTCTTTTCATCCAAAGTCAGGTTTGTTCAATTACTTTAGAACACAATTAACATGACAAATTATTCTTCTCTGCTCTGCTATTACAATACAATCTGTGATAATTCACTTTATAATTGTCAATATATATGCTATTTAGGGCTAAACTTACAAACATGTAATCTAGATCTATGTGACTTTATCTCTCACTAACTGAACTTTGTCTAACCTGCTTTATAACTACATTTTGGATTCTTATTTATAAGTAGTCCAACTGAGGTCTAGAACTTTCCTTAAACTATGAGATATTATGATGTAATAATACTCGATAGAAACTTGAAAGGTTCTAGTAACTGGACGTAGTAATACAACAGTTGGCAATTCACAACATTTGAACAACATAACATATGATTCGCACAGTTACGTAAAGAAACCAGAGATAAACTACTACTTCTAAAAATGACTAAATTTAACACTCGTGATATACTTAAACTATTTAATGTGAGTATTATGATTTAGATGGATTAAGTATATAACATGAGTGTTAAATTTAGTTATTTTTAGAAATGATGTTTGATTTCAGGTTTGTTTATGTAACTGTGTACGAATCATATGTTGTATAGCTCAATTGTTGTGAATTGGGGCCTGTTGTATTATTGCATCATGATATCTCGTAATGTGTAGAAAATTCTAGGCTTTGGTCAGGCTATAAATACATATACAAAATGTCTAAACTGTGTAATTGAGAGTTTAGCCATAAAGAGCATATAGTTACAAGTTTTAAAGTAAAATTATCACTAATTGTATTGTAATAATGGAGCAGAAAAGAATAATTTTTGTCAAATTGTGTTCTAAACTAACTGATCCAACCTGTGTGAACTTTGATGGAAAAGAGACAATTACTTAAAGCTCTCGATACAAATGTGATAACCAACAGTGTAATGAACATTTGTATATACATTTGACTTGTTTTAATATATTCTAAAACAAATGGATTGTGTGCTATTTGTATATCATTGAAATTCATTGCCAACAAGTCACAGACATCTAATGTAAATAATCCAGCCCACACGTATGTAAAAACTGTCATTGATTATTCAAGATTATAAAAATAATGGAGAAACATAAAAAGATATTACTTGTTATATAGATGATTAATGAATTTGGTGTAACTTTTAGAAAAACCTTAAGCAGGATAGAATGGCTTGGTTTATAAGAGCGACATGCAATCAAGTTGAAAGATTAATGCAATTTCCCTAATTAAACTTGGATTATTCTGTTCACTTTTGGTCTTGTTGTTATAAGAATGATAATGATCTTGATGTAAAATAGGACTGTAGAGTGTGTTTGAAATGAAAAACCTAAGAAGAAAGGGGAATACAAATAGATGCATGTAAGAATTTATGACTAGCTTATATGATCAATTTGTTCAAGGTGATGAGAGTACAGGGAAGTATGATATTCTAAGGTACAGAATTGACCAAGTATACAATTATCTGCAACAGTGAGTGGATTTAGTATTTGAAAAACAGATGTAGGGCATGGTGTTTAGTTAGACAAAAAAAAATCTTGTTTTTTTACTAAGAACACAGAATAATGGATGTTTTAGATGTTTTTAGTTCTGAGAAGGATATGATTAGTGCCATAGTGCAACAGCACACACACAAATAGAGGATACTGAGATGTATTAATTCTTTCAGCACAGGCTCAGTCCATGGGACTGACCTCGTAACCATTTTGTGCTTGTTATAGTTTTCATGCTATCAATTTAAATTAGCAAGCAAATGTTATCAAAATTTGGCAGATTATCAGTAAACATTACAATGCTTTTATATGCAAAATATCAATTTTTTTAAATTAAGTCTTAAGGTTTATAAAGCAATGATTTTCTCGTGTCTGTTTTTTCTTTTCGCATGTTACCTATCTATCATGCAAAGTAATATTCATTTTAAGATTAAAAATACTTTTTTGCATCAGAAAGTTTTGAAATTTCACAATCAAAATCTTTATAATGTCCAGATAGTTATCAAAGATTTCTTAAGAAAAAACTTTATATTTTATCTGTTATTTTCAGTAATTAATCTCTGTACGGATTTGGTAGATTTGACCGATCTCGCAACCACCATAAAAATTAAGAAATAAATATAAATTATGGCTCTTTCATTCTGGAATGAACACAAATTATAGCACAAAACATAAATGTATAGACTAAATACCTTAAATCTCATAACATTATACATTGATATATATTTATTATATTGACCTTTCAGCCATGCCTGGCTAACAGTACAGAAGTAACAATGATGCAGCTCATGTGCACTCATGTTACTGTATCAAATAACATAAAACTGACATTTGGTCTATGCAAAGCAACTTGTCCTGGCTGTGTTTTAGTAGACTAGTATTGTGTAAAATACAGTTAAATTTCAATTATTATACATTATCTATGTATATAGACTATTGCTA